GGTGTAAGGGACCTACTGAGTAGGTCTGATACCCGGAGATCTTTACTTTTTGCTTATTTTTTATGTTAAATTTATTGGGGTGACATTGGTTAATAAGATCACATGGGTTTCAGGGGTACAGTTCTATGATATTGCATTGTGTCCCCATCACCCAAAGTAAAATCTTCAGCCGCCATATATTGGACCCCTTTTGCTGCCCCCCACCCCCTTTCCCTCTGGTATACCTGGAAGTCATCAGATACAGGATTCTAAGCAAAACTCATGCTCTCTCCCATCCTATATAATAAAGAGCTAATATGCAAATGGTCTTCACGCCATCACGCCATCACGGCTCAGACACTCAACACTGGGGAGAGAGCAATGGGGACCAGCCAGGGGGACCCACGGTCCCAGGCACCAGTACCTGCGGCCTGGGCAAAGCCACCCGTCATGGTCCGCTGCCTGCGGATAGCCAGAGGGAGGGAAGCCCAGGTCCCGGGTGCCTACCACCATTCAGGGGAGGGAATCCTGGGTCCCGGTGCGGGTGGAGGCAGAGGCAGGGGCGATCAGGCCAGTAGGGGAGCAGTTAGGGGCGATCAGGAAGGCAGAGGTGGGTTAGGGGCTATCAGGCAGGCAGGCGAGCAGTTAGCAGTTGGTGGTCCCTGATTGCAAGAGGCACTCAGACATCCCCTGAGGGGTCCCAGATTGGAGAGGGTGCAAGCCACGCTGAGGGCCCTCCCCCCCCACCATGCACGAATTTCATGCACCAGGCCTCTAGTAATATATAAACACCATTGGCCCTACGTGTATTCGCTAAATCACACCTTGAGCAAACACCTATTCTTCATTGGACTTTTATCGGTGTCAACAGTGCAATTTACTTTAGAGAAATATGCCAAAACCCAATTTAATATTTTAAGTATTTTTTTAGAATTTTAAGAATTTGCTTCTTTTAACAAGCAACTAGAAAAAGACCTGTTGCATATGAATTATGTGTATGACAAATCATTACAGTTAATAGAGGCCCTAGAATCATCTTGTCCCCTTTCTTTGTAGAGATGAAGAAACTGCAGCTCAGAGGGGTTAATTAAATGCCTTTTTCAAATAAGTGGTAAAGCCAGGGCTGAAATCCAAATCTGATCTTCAGTTTTTAATATCTTGCACTTAAAACATATCTGAGTGCTCTTAGGTCGATTCTGTAGTCTGAAACGAAATGCACAGATTATTAAAAGAATATCTTAATAATATTAAATAGAAGCTAGTTTGCTGTAACCTGTTTCAATGCAGCTCAGCATCTAAGGAATGAAATTGCTGGAGAGAATGTTACAAAAAGATCAGTTTAAGATTTGTTGTCAATAAAGTATCCACATTGGTGCCTTCAGGAGTATTGAGGTTTGGTTCTTTCTACTTAAAACCAAGAACAAGAGAAGCTTGCACTGTAATATCCAATAAGAACGGGTTCATCGTTGGTTAGAAAGCACACGGAACAAGTTGACTTGGAAGATTTTAATGCACCTGTTTGTAAGGGCCTGCATGTGGTCACATATGTAGTGGTAAACATTTCAAAAATTTAAAGGTAAAAGGAACTTATTCCAAATGTTCATTATACAGAGAAGAAAACAAACACTGGAGAAGGTAGACATCCCCTTATGGAAAGCTGAAGTGAACAGTTTCTGGTCACTGTTTCATTCTGCATTCTCTGTGCGTGATGAGCTCCAAATAAACTTAGAAAAACCCCTCATTCGTGAGGACCCTTCAGGAAAGTTTGCTAACATGCACTTTGTTTCAGGGGAGACAAAAAGAAAGTCTTATATTCACCTGACCGCCCCTGAATTTAGAAGAATCCCATTCTTTAAACCAAATGGTATACTCCTGCTATCTTTGCAAATAGTTGTTTTCTCCTCTGCTTTTTCTATAATGCGGTATGAATTTCTATTTCTATTAATAGATTTTTAATAATTGACCTGAAAGTAGATATTTGAGATTTAGAAACTTTTCAGGTACCTAGTTAAGACAGACAGCTGTTGCAAGAAGCGCCTAAATCATAATTGCTACCCATACTTGTGTTAGTCTCCTCCAGATGTTCTGTCACGGTTAAAGGGAGGGTACTGTAAGAATGTTTCTCGACTTCAGTCACTTGAAGACCATTTCACAATTGAGGCCATACCTACTCACCATCTATTGTTAGTGTAGTGTTGATTCAACTCAATGTTAGATTTATTCTAAAGGAAAATTTTATATTACTTTTGTAAATGGAAAATATTTTTTTCTAATACTAATTAAAGTAAATTGTTTCAAAGATTTGTGCTTCATGATAGAATTATGATCGCAAAAGTTACTTGCAATTTTAGGGGTAATTTTTTTTTTTAAGTCATGTGCCATTTTGTCCGATTGGTAATTCACTCACTAAGTATTTACGGTGTCAGGGGCTTCCTAGGTATTTGGAGAACCTCAGTGAACAAATCATGCACAAAGGCTGTTCTGGAGGAGCTTACCTCTCCTCAGGTCACATTTGTAATGTCTGAGCCTCCAAACGGCCTCCCCACCTCCCTCGCATTTCCATGAGCACTGCTAAGTCTGCTCTCATTCAGTATCGGCAAACACTGCAGTTTTGTGTGTGTTTTTCTTTTAGCGATGGTCTAGAAATCCTCTCAGTATGAGAATTACTGTTAACGTCTATTGTGTTCTGGGGAATTCCCATAGGTGAACTCAGTTCATGGATTCAGATGTCGTTTAAACATTATGCTATGCAAGAAGCGAAACAACAGTTTGTTGAGTATGATAAAAACAGTGATGGCCGTGTGTCGTGGGACGAATACAACATTCAGATGTACGACCGCGTGATTGACTTCGACGAGAACACAGCTCTGGATGACGCAGAAGAGGAGTCCTTTAGGCAGGTGAGAGCATGTGCACAACCTGCCTTTTGAACGAGAGAGTGGAAGGGAGGGGGAGACGCAGAGAGAGAGACATTGATGTGAGAGAGAGACATCGATCGGTTGCCTCCTGCAGCTGCTCCTTTTTAAGACGGGGTCGTACTCCAGTGCAGGTGTATACTGTATTTTGTTTATCCATTCATCTGTAAATGGACACTTGGGTTTGCTTTAACTTTTTGGCTCTTATTCATAACTAGAGGCCCGGTGGACGAAATGCGTGCATGGGTGGGGTCTCTAGGCCTGGCCTGCGATCAGGGCCTATGGAGGTCGTCTCATCCAGTCCTGGACAGGGCCTGCTGGGCAGGGGGAGGGACTGCGGGAGGTTTGCTGGCCGTGGGAGGTTGGCTGTGTGAGCACACTGACCACCAGGGGGTAGCTCCTGCGTTGAGCATCTGCCCCCTGGTGGTCAGTGTGCGTCATAGTGACTGGTTGGCCAGTCGTTTGGTCCTTAGGTTGTAATGGTCACTTAGGCCTTTATATAGATAGATGTGGCTATGAACATGGGTGTGCAAATATCTGTTTGAGACCCTACTTTAAGTTTTTGGAGGGAATGTGTCCAGAAGTGTAGTTGGAATTGCTGGATCATATGGTGATGCTATTTTAATTTTTTGAGGAGCTGCAATACTGTCTTCCATAGTGGCTCCACCCTTTAAAATAACTCATTTTTGAAGATTCTGTATGACTGTAGTTCTGTTGCCTCTCCTGGTTTAATTTGTTTAAATATATGCTGCTTAAGCAGAGCTGAGGAAGACAGTATTTAGGAAACATTTATTTAGTAAACAGAACTTTTCAAGACAAATGACTGTTTTCTTCAGAAATTGCTATTTTAAATACTTTTGTATTTCAAATTAGTTTTACAATCTTTTTCTTAAAATGAGTTTTTCTTATGTGGAAAAATACAAAGCCAAGCACCTGGTTGCAACCCATTATGTCCCAAAATAT